TTCAGTTCGGAAAAAAACTGTAAGTAAGCCTAGACATCTAAAAATTACATCATATCCCAGTGTAGACATATTAAATAATTGCCAATACAAAATTGATTTAGGCCTAACTTAATGGTCTTTGCCTACTAAGGTTTGCTCTACGGGAAGATATTGGGGTGTGTATTTTTATTGAAATGCTGACAGCTTAGTATGAAATGAACAGAAGAATAAAATGAAGAATAACAAGGGAATTTTAAATTTACAATTTTTTTTAACTAGTCCTATCTCCAAAACCATACAATGAACATACAACAACTCTTCAATATGCAAAATTATTATTTTTTAAGCTCTACAAAATGGTTTGGATAGAATTATGAAATTTTGTGTTTTAGGGTCAAAAATGTGAAAAATCAATTTTTACCCCATAAACCCCTTTTCCATAGTCCGATTATGCTGGTTCGCAAACTCGTGTGAATAAACGTCTAGGTTTTACCAAATTTCATCAAAATCAGATAATTTTTGCTCAAGTTATCGCTCTAACGGACACATAGCCTAGCCTATATATGAATTTGAACGGATGGTGTTTTTGGCCTCTAGGAACCCAGGGTGTCTACCAACCGGGAAATTTGGGAAAACCGGGAATTGTACTTAAATTTTTACTGGCCATGAAATGTACGGGAATTGTCCTTAAATGCCAGACTATGTCCTTAAATTTTTAATGGGCCATAATTTTATTGATTGCTAGTTGGTTAGGAGCACATAAAAGGTTTATCAGATGTTTGTTCACATTTTCATAATTTATTACTAGAGTAATTATGCAATAAAAATCCCATTAACAATCTCAAACCCATTAATTTGTTATCACGACAATCAAGTAGTGTCAAGTCAAGTACTTCCAAGAACTGTTGACTCAGCAGCTAGCTCATAAAAGCTGTATCACTTTTATTCCTTTACAACTTCTTTTTTTATTACTAGGGTAATTATTATTAGATCCCAAACCTATTTTATCGTGAAAATAATAGCTTTATAATGGCTGTTAAATTTCACTTCTTACTTGTACTTTCGGCTTGAAGATTCAATTTGCCGGGGCCAGTGCCTAGTGCCATAAAACTGTTTATGGTTTCATATTAAACATGTAAATAATCTACATTATTTTGTAAGTCTTATTTTGTTTTTGTCTTATTAAGTCTTTGTCATATTTTGTAAGTTAACCCCTTTTTTATGGACATTTTATCTTTCAATTGACAAAACCACAAGCATTGTTTGCATTAATGTTTTATCACTATGTAGGCCTGCTTGGTTTCAAATTATGTCATTGCATTTTCTGTATCTGTGTCTTATATTGTTGGCTATTCAGGTTTCAATGTTTTTTGTTTCCCATATATTTATTTATTGAGTTGTATTCTTTAAATAATCAAAATCTGATGAACTAGAATGAAGATAGTGACTTTGCTGCTATTATAACCTCATTGTTTTGTTACTCAGTTTTTATAGGCTCTCCTAAATAATTACGTTTAGGCCTGGGTATTTTGATTCTTGAAAGAGCTGTAAAATATATTAAGAAAATGTAATTGAGCCTAAGATAAACAACTAATGATTGCTATGTGTCGATATTAACTTTGCAAATGAAAATGTACAATAATCTTACTCTGTGCTTATTGCTTATTAATAGCCGCTTACCATACCTTGATTTTGTACTAAGAATTGAGTAACAATATGCATTACAATTTTTGTTTCAAAAGTAATCAAGAACCTAACGTTGTGCCAGGGCGAATCATGCCAAATTAATCGGTCTGGATAGGATAAGCTATGTTATGAAGTTTACGTGACGGATGGAGATATTTGTCGCTATCGCAGGAGACAATGATTGCGTTTCTCTGTTACACTATAAAAGCTTTACCTAAAGTATAGGTAGGCCTATGTTTGTTTACTTTCAATAAATTTCTATTTTGTAATTTTTAACTCTTATCTATTATTATTTACTTTTCTCTCTGGTACAACTACAGTGAATAACAAGATTAATACAGTTTGACAAATCAGGAAAATTATTCGGTAGGCTTAATGACACCGACAAAGGTTACGGCAAAGTGTCCTTAAATGTACGGGAATTGTCCATGAATTTTTTTATCCAGAATGTAGTAGACACCCTGGAACCGCAAAACAAAAAAGTAAATCAGTCCCGGGTCCAGGTCTTGCCATGGGACCTACGGTAATAGCTTATTCTTTATTTGGGAAATTCGCTAAAACTGATGTAGGTGTTACTTGTTTATAGTTGTAGGCTATGTTGATCAAATTTGGAAAATTTATTTATTCCATCTTAATAGCATTTGGTTGAAAAAACACTGTTTTCCTTCCCTGTATCCTGTAAACCTAAATCCATTTTAAACCTAATCTATATATTAATTTGAAACTGTTTTTCTTTGTAACAGCTATTTTGAGAGAACGGCTGGGCGTAGAAACTCGGTAGATGTGTCTAAAGAAAGGTCTTAGTCTGTAGATGAGCCATCAAAAGAGAAACATGGTGAATTCCGTTGGGGCTCTGCCCCCGCGGCCTTTAAATTCCCATCCCATGTTATTCTTAAGGAGGAAAACGGGGTTTTTGTTACAGCTAATTTGAGAGAACGGCTGGGCGTAGAAACTTGGTAGGGGTCTCTAAAGAAAGGTCTTGGTCTGTAGATGCCTCTTCAGATTTGTTTACATTACGACCATATGCATAATTCTACACTACTTTTTAATGCAACAGCTGTTAATATTTAAATTGTGATTTATTGAATTTTTCAAAATGAAGTACAGTATTTGCAATGGATTTTTCTGATTTTAAAATTGATTTTCTTCTGCATCGTGTCATGTTTTGCAATATAATGCTCTATTACCAAATCAGTGGAAAATCCTAATATCACAGTAACTTTTAAAATTATTTCTTATGGAGTTAACTTATATCTATTATATGGGTTGGTTTCTGCCTTTTTACCACTTCTTGGAGATTGTATGTAGGTGATATTCTTTGGCATATTGCATCTGTAGACGAAACTTGGGTTGGTGTAATTATTACAATGGAAAATAGCGAGATATCCTGGACAATTTGATATACTAAAAATAAAACTGAATTAACACTGTGCTACATTTCTTGAGCAATCATTGAAATAACCGATTTGCAAACAATGGAAACATAGAAAAAGTCATAGAACACAACCATGTAAAAGAAATAGAAATAATGTTTTTTTTTACACTAAAAACACTAAAAAAACAAGATCAGCTTTTTGAAAAAAGATAAGATATTTACAAAAGATTTTAATTATATCTAACTGTTGTGTAGATCGTAAGTATTTCCATAAACTTTGAGTCGCCTGTAATGCTTCGCAATTGCTCGAGTTTTAAAGTAAAATTCAATGAAAACCGGCCATTAAAACAAAACTTTAAATGGTCGCCATTTTGAAATTTGTGGAGCCTGATCAAAGATATTTTTGGAGAATGTTTATACCTGTAGACTTAAAGTTTATACCAGGTTTCATAAAAATATCTCCAAGGGTTTTTGAGTTATTAATTATTTTCAAAAAAATACAAAATGGCGGATTACGGCTAAAATAAGCCAAAATCGAAAAAATTTATTCAACATTTTCGACTTATTTTTGCATGTAGAATCTGAATCTGCATAGCCTGCTACGCTTTACTGAAACACCCTGTATATATACAGTATAACAAAGACGTGTTAGTTACACCAGAAAGGCTTGACCAATTTTGATCATTTTTGATTCGTTGGTTTAGTTTTTGTCTCGATTAACATATAGGTAGGCATATTCAGTTTTGTATTTAATCTTAGGGCTTAGCCCCACTGGCCTGTAAAGTTTGTATGTTAAGCGTATGGAGCTATTGGAAGAATGTAAATAATCAAATAAATTATTGAAGTCAGCTGTAAATACTTAAATTTGACAGTTCATAGAGCAGAGGTTAAGAGGTACAGGTTCTGCTCCCAAGATTCTAAAGTTTATTTTATATAAATAAATGTAAGAGATTTGTCTGTACGTTGCTCAGAATAAATATATGTTTGGTTATTTTTACGTTTCATACATTAATGAAGCTGAAACAGGTCTTATCTCATTTTCTGTCCATCTCTCTGTCACGACCCAGAAGGCATTTTACGCAGCCTTCTCCTGAAAAACAAGGGTACTTATGAAGATTAAAATCATGTTAATGTGGATTGGCAAAAGTGTCTTTAGCCATTAAAACATTGCCTCCTTACTTTGTAAATAAAATAACGGACGATCAAAACCCCGATTTTGTGCGATTTTTGTCAAGTGTTCTCCCAAAGTTTATCACATACGTCATCTATGTAATAACGAATAGCGGTTTTGATCAAGATTATTTTTTTTAGCTGTCACTGACATGTTTACATTAAAATGTTGTATACAAATACCGCAACAATTTCCAATCACATTTTGAAAGCAAATCCAAAGCAAGTGAGGTTAAAAACGTGTTTCCTTACATAATGGATTTAATTAGTGCAATAATGTGTAACCGTAAATGAAATTAAATAACTAGGCATCGTTCAGGTCAGGAGCCGGAGATTCTTTGTGTATCAAAATGTTCTTTCGTTTTGATAACCGGAAAAAATACATGGAATCAGTATTGTGGACTGGGAAATTTACAATTTTTAAATCAGCCTCACATGCAATTATATTTCTAACAGTATGCGTAGATTTTCCCTGCGATGCACAGGAGCTGAGAAAAAAGGTTTTAAATAAACATGCTTGTCTACATATAAAGTTAGCCCCATGTTAAATCTCCATAAGAAAAGTACAATTTCCATTTTTAACCCAATTAGCATAAATATTCACAAAATATGAATAAAACCTGCAGATATGGGCCAGTTAACCTTTCTATTGAAACAACCTGCTTGTAAATTAGTCCAGTAGTATGATCAGGGTGGCTGTCATAAGTTTTTGAAATGTTTTTTAATATAGGCTATAAGATTTTTTTAACTGGAATTTTTTTTAAATCATAATAAACATGTTTTGTTGTAGGATGAGAAGGTAAAAAGAAAACAACAAATAATATGGAATTGTGAGTTAATTACAACAAAAGAATAAAGGAATACAAGAGAAAAAGGAAAATCACTCAAGTATATTGTAAAATACCCAATGAGCATAGCAAGATTTGACTACGGGACGATTCAATATTGAATGAGAGAGGTAGCTTATCATATAACTGCTCTAAATTTAACATGTCCTACAAACAAGGTTACTATTTAAATACATCTCTGATTTGTTGATTTTTCTGATTAGTTATTGGCTGTTGTGTTAAATTTCATAAATAATAAAAATGCAACAATGAAAATGATAACTCAAAGTAAAAATGTTCCTCTCAAGTGTCCAATATGTAAGCAAATTTGTTCATCTCGACCCGCAATGAAGATTCATATATTAAATCACACGGGAGAGCGTCCTTTTAAATGTTTGACATGTGAAAAAGCCTTTTTCCAACGATATCAAGTAGAGAGTCATTTGTTGATACACTATAGGAAGTGTCCTTATAACTGTTCTATATGTGGGAAATCCTTTACAGCCAAAGGCTATTTCAAGTATCATTCATTGGCTCACGCAAGAGAGAGTCCTTACAAGTGCAGTACATGTGGAAAATCCTTTACATCCAAAATCAATATGAAAAATCATTCATTAGTTCACACAGGAGAGAGTCCTTACAATTGCAGTAAATGTGGGAAATCCTTTAAATCCAAAGGATATATGAAGAATCATTCATTAGTGCATACAGGAGAGACACCTTATAAGTGCAGTACATGTGGGAAATCCTTTAAATCCAAAGGATATATGAAGAGTCATTCATTGGTTCACACAGGAGAGACACCTTATAAGTGCAGTACATGTGGGAAATCCTTTACATCCAAAAGCAATATGAAGACTCATTCATTAGTTCACACAGGAGAGACGCCTTATAAGTGCATTACATGTGGAAAATCCTTTACATCCAAAAGCAATATGAAGACTCATTCATTGGTTCACACAGGAGAGAGACCTTACAAGTGCAGTACATGTGGACAATCCTTTACATCCAAAGGATATATGAAGAGACATTCATTGGTTCACACAGGAGAGACACCTTATAAGTGCAGTACATGTGGAAAATCCTTTACATCCAAAATCGATATGAAGAAACATTCATTGGTTCATACAGGAGAGAAACCTTTTAAGTGCAGTACATGTGAAAAATCCTTTACATCCAAAAGCAATATGAAGACTCATTCATTGTTTCACACAGGAGAGACACCTTTTAAGTGCAGTACATGTGGGAAATCCTTTACATCCAAAAGCAATATGAAAAGACATTCATTGGTTCACACAGGAGAGACACCTTATAAGTGCAGTACATGTGGAAAATCCTTTACATCCAAAAGCAATGTGAAGACTCATTCATTAGTTCACACAGGAGAAACACCTTATAAGTGCAGTACATGTGGAAAATCCTTTACATCCAAAGGATATATGAAGACTCATTCATTCGTTCACACAGGAGAGACACCTTATAATTGCAGTACTTGTGGGAAATCCTTTACATCCAAAAGCAATATGAAGAAACATTCATTAGTTCACACAGGAGAAAAACCTTATAAGTGCAGTACATGTGGGAAATCCTTTACATTCATAAGCAATATGAAGACTCATTCATTGGTTCACACAAGAGAGACACCTTATAATTGCAGCACTTGTGGGAAATCCTTTACATCCAAAAGCAGTATGAAGACTCATTTATTGGTTCACACAGGGGAGACACCTTACATGTGCATTACATGTGGAAAATCCTTTAAATCCAAAGGATATATGAAAAGTCATTCATTGGTTCACACAGGGGAGACACCTTATAAGTGCAGTACATGTGGAAAATCCTTTACATCCAAAAGCAATATGAAGACTCATTCATTGGTTCATACAGGAGAGACACTATATAAGTAGTTACATGTGGGAAATCCTTAACATCCAAAAGCAATACAAAGAAACATTAATTGGTTCACCCAGAAGAGACACCTCATAATTGCAGTACTTGTGGGAAATCCTTTACATCCAAAATCAATATGAAGACTCATTCATTGGTTCATACAGGAGAGACACCTTATAAGTGCAATACATGTGAGAAATCCTTTACATCCAAAAGCAATTTGAAGACTCATTCATTGGTTCATACAGGAGAGACACCTTATAAGTGCAGTACATGTAAGAAATCCTTTACATCCAAAATCAATACGAAGACTCATTCATTGGTTCATACAGGAGAGACACCTTATAAGTGCAGTACATGTGAGAAATCCTTTACATCCAAAAGCAATTTGAAGACTCATTCATTGGTTCATACAGGAGAGACACTATATAAGTAGCTACATGTGGGAAATCCTTTACATCCAAAAGCAATATGAAGACTCATTCATTGGTTCACATAGAAGAGACACCTTATAATTGCAGTACTTGTGGGAAATCCTTTACATCTAAAAGCAATATGAAGACTCATTCATTGTTTCACACAGGAGAGACACCTTATAAGTGCAATACATGTGAGAAATCCTTTACATCCAAAAGCAATTTGAAGACTCATTCATTGGTTCATACAGGAGAGACACCTTATAAGTGCAGTACATGTAAGAAATCCTTTACATCCAAAATCAATACGAAGACTCATTCATTGGTTCATACAGGAGAGACACCTTATAAGTGCAGTACATGTGAGAAATCCTTTACATCCAAAAGCAATTTGAAGACTCATTCATTGGTTCATACAGGAGAGACACTATATAAGTAGCTACATGTGGGAAATCCTTTACATCCAAAAGCAATATGAAGACTCATTCATTGGTTCACATAGAAGAGACACCTTATAATTGCAGTACTTGTGGGAAATCCTTTACATCTAAAAGCAATATGAAGACTCATTCATTGTTTCACACAGGAGAGACACCTTATAAGTGCAGTACATGTGAGAAATCCTTTACATCCAAAAGCAATATGAAGAGACATTCATTGGATCACACAGGAGAGACACCTTATAAGTGCAGTACATGTGAGAAATCCTTTACATCCAAAAGCAATATGAAGACTCATTCATTAGTTCACACAGGAGAGACGCCTTATAAGTGCAGTACATGTGAGAAATCCTTTACATGCAAAAGCAATATGAAGACTCATTCATTGTTTCACACAGGAGAGATGCCTTATAAGTGCAGTACTTGTGGGAAATCCTTTACAACCAAAAGCAATATAAAGACTCATTCATTGGATCACACAGGAGAGACACCTTATAAGTGCAGTACATGTGAGAAATCCTTTACATCCAAAAGCAATATGAAGACTCATTCATTAGTTCACACAGGAGAGACGCCTTATAAGTGCAGTACATGTGAGAAATCCTTTACATCCAAAAGCAATATGAAGACTCATTCATTGGATCACACAGGAGAGACACCTTATAAGTGCAGTACATGTGAGAAATCCTTTACATCCAAAAGCAATATGAAGACTCATTCATTGTTTCACACAGGAGAGACACCTTATAAGTGCAGTACATGTGAGAAATCCTTTACATCCAAAAGCAATATGAAGACTCATTCATTGTTTCACACAGGAGAGATGCCTTATAAGTGCAGTACTTGTGGGAAATCCTTTACATCCAAAAGCAATATAAAGACTCATTCATTGGTTCACACAGGAGAGAGACCTTGTAAGTGCAGTACATGTGGAAAATCCTTTTCCATTCAAAATCAATATGAAGAGACATTCATTGGTTCATACAAGAGAGAGGCCTTACAATTAATTGCAGAAAGCAATATGAAGATTCATTCATTGGTTCACACAGCAAAGAGAGTCCCTTATAAGTAGGTACCTGTTAAACCTATGTGAATTTAATAGTTCTAATTTTAATCCAATCAGCATTTGAAAATCCAATCAGGTACGGTAAACAGAAATTCGCTCAGTCTGCAGGTCCACTATTTCCCTACAGGGAAATTTGTTAAAAGTGGTTTTCGAAGTGATTTTGGTGTGTCTGTCTGGATGTGTGGATGTGTACAGAGCTACAGACCTCTTGTCCTGTAGTCCAATTTTGATTTAATTTAGTACTACTACTAAATTTAGTATAAAAATTTGACCATGGTGATCTCCTGTTATTACAGTGATTACCTTGTTTGCTTTCTTTTTATCATGCAACAACTTAATAAGAGAACCAATAGATTTCTGTTAAGTGAATGGATGCTCGGCCGTACATTGTTGGCGCTTTTCAGAATTTCCCAGTTTGTTAGAAAATGAACTTAAGACCCAGGACCCATATACTTTTTAACTTTGATATTTTGATGTCCCTAGATTCCAAAAACACTATTTGTCAAATTTGTATATAGTATATATAAAAAAATATATTAAAAATTTTGTTAATAAGCTTTTATTAGAAAAATCATATTGTAGCATGAAAAAGAAATTCTGGATGATTATGTAAAGTAGATTGTACTACAGTTTAAAAAAGTCCTTGATTCATTTTACAGGGTGTCTACCAACCGGGAAATTTGGGAAAACCGGGAATTGTACTTAAATTTTTACTGGCCATGAAATGTACGGGAATTGTCCTTAAATGACAGACTATGTCCTTAAATTTTTAATGGGCCATAATTTTATTGATTGCTAGTTGGTTAGGAGCACATAAAAGGTTTATCAGATGTTTGTTCACATTTTCATAATTTATTACTAGAGTAATTATGCAATAAAAATCCCATTAACAATCTCAAACCCATTAATTTGTAGATTGTAGATTGTACTACAGTTTAAAAAAGTCCTTGATTCATTTTTGCTGTACTCAAATGATATGCAGAACAATGGCCTGTCCTGATAAAGACCAGATTGGTATTTTTTTATGTACTGTAGTTTACGCTTAGTTTAAACAAGTAACAAAAAGGATAAAATTATTTTACTTGTATTACTATTACTTTTAAAAAGTTTTAGATGTAATAAGTCTTATCAAAATGAATATTACACAACTTTAATCCCATGACAGCGGTAAAATAGTGAAATCCCCAAAATGTTTACACAAAATACTGTAGTTAAAATAACGTATAATGTTCTCCATAAGAATAGCATTAGAAGCCATTTACGGATGATGTTTGTTTTGTTTACTTCAATAAAGGTCTATTCTCTGGTCTTCAGTAAAGCTGATTGTGATTTATCATTAAGCCAGTACGCAATTTGTCTATGCCAATATTAACATTTTGATCACTTTTTTGGCTGTCAATTCTGCAATGTACTGTATCAATGTATGTGTATACTATCATAGGTTAAAGTTTAGATACTGCCTACTCCTTTAAATTATAATACTATTGTTCGATATGAGAGTTAATTGAGATTATAAAAAACAGTGTCACATACCTTTCAATAAGAAAATCCAACACAGGAAGGTAGCAGGGGGAATGGGGATTGGGTGAGCTCACCACGCACAAGAAGATCTGGAAGTTCAGATGCACTACACACTTCGAAATGGGGAATTTGATATTATTATTCACTGATTAAGAGATAGGTTTTAAAGTGGGGACACTTCCACCACGAGGTGGTCAAAAGGACCGAGAGATTGCCATAAAAACGGCGCGGCGCGGCACATACGTACGATCGAGGAAGGTTTTAGACGCTAACTGAATAAAATCATGGTGGGGAAATTTGAATTTTCCATGAGAGGGAAAGAGACAGAGATAGATCACGCCATATGACGTAGGCATCGTATGATTTTGAGGAGAATGTGAGGGAGGGGAATTGCCGTGGTGTGTGTGTGTGCGTGAGTAGAGTAGATTTTACAGACTTAAATAAGTAACAAATATACAGATGAATGTTAAAAACCTATGCACACTGTTAATTAAATGTTAATAAAAATTAATGATTAATGATGAAAATACTAATTTACATATTTACAAAACCGTAGTGAACAACTATATAAAACCAGGAGAGATAATGTTACCTATCGTTAAGACTTTTTTGTTATGCCTTAGAATATTGAAATCAATTATTTTACCGTGCAATTTGCAAATTAGTGCGTTTTTGTGTAAATAAGTTAAGCGTATAATAAGTAGTTTAAACTTTAGTAAACTTTTACCTGTCTAATAATAATATTTTATTTAATAATAGGTGAAACCCGTTGAAATTGATGGCTAATTTCAAGGCTTATGCCAATTCATGTAACAGCGACAAATAGAGTTAAATTATAAAACCTTTACATTTGGCTTTGTTTAATGGGTAGTAAATAAGTTTCAAAAATAATAATGGCCATTGTGCAAGTTATAAGATATTGGTTTCTGGTTTGATTATTCAAAGAATAAAATATTTCCAGTACGTTATTGGAGTTATTATTAGGCCTACTATGTTAACTGGTTTCATCTCCCTTTTGAAGGATATTTAGATAATATTAAAATTGTTTGGATGGTTCTTTTGTTGTAAACACTTCTGTGATTTTGTCAGTGCAAGGCAAATTAAATCTATTTTTTATTTGAGAAAAATATCTGTTTAGAACGCATGTTCTTACTTCAAAGGGAGGTATACCTTAAGCTATGTAAGTTTTAATTTTTCCCATCACATCAGTCATCATACCTTACTTAAGCACTGATAAAATAACTTATGACAATGAATTATCCACTATAGTTCGGCCGCTTGGAAAACTACCTGCACGCTAATGCCAAACCAATGCTGGAGGAGGTCGCTCTCTAAGCGGCCGAACTATACCATAATTTTGAGAAATCTGGAATATACTTGTAGTGAACCTGGATTTTATTCTTGAACTGTTAGAGGCCACAATCATATGTTTGTACGGCTTTATTGGCAACAAATAATGCAAATAACATAGCAATGCTGCATTTCCAAAAAGCAAATACTGTAAATTGGCTGCTATGTGAAAACTTTTACATGCATTGTTAATCGACGAATCTTATTAAGGATTAGAAGATCTAGTTTAAAGAAAACATGACATTCCTGTGACAACAGGTACTTCATGTACATCCACACTAATCACTGTGGTAGACGAAATTTTGTTTCTGTTATTTAGCGGAAGGAAGCTCTTATACTACACTAACTACTACTTATGTTTTACAACGCACAAAATTTAACACAGTCATGGTAACCAACCATGGGAAGCTATACATCTGAAATAGTACAAATCGCACCACTGAGCCTTCCCTATGTGGATTTTAACTTTTTGAAATTTAACATGGGCCTTATGAGTTATCTGGTTGCCATGACAGTATTTATTGCAAGATAATTGAAAAGGTAATCAAGAATCACAAGATATGTTAGTCAACAAATCATCTAAAATAGCACATTACAAATACCTTAAAGAGTATAAGCTAAGAACAATTGGGCATCATTGGGAATCACTGAGCATATAGGCCAGATAACCTTTCTTTTGTTAAAACCCGTGTGTAAATCGTTCCAGTAGTATGGTCAGGGTGGCTGTCATAAGTTTTTGAAACATTTCTTAATGTATAAGATTTTTTAAACTGGAATCTATTATACTAATTCCGTAAGGAATATCTTGTGCACAGCAAAACTCTTTTATTTATGAACCAATTTTGATGATTAAGGTGTCAAATTAAAGGGAATTCTCTGTAGATGTCATGGAATAACTTTTGTCACGCTCAGTTCAATGTGCTTCGCCCCATCGGACTTTAAAGTTTTCATGTATTTTAAATATACAAGTAAAAATTTGTTAAGATTACCTAACATATGATTTATTTCTTAAAAGAAAACATCTGTCTTCATAAAAATAGCCTGTTTCCCTTCTGTCATTTTAATATTTACTTTTTCTGTTTACCTATCAGTTTACTTTTAAATAGCCCTACAATGACAACTTAAGAGATGGGATAGTTTATTTATGCAATTTCATTCATAGGGAGTAAAAACCAGTCTATTTCATTATGTGATTGTATTTTATTTTCAGATAATGGTGTGTTTAACGTTTTCATAGATATTTTTATGTGTTGTGTTTTCCAATTTTTAATTTTGATTAGGCCTATCATAAAATTCTACCTAGAAGAAACAATCCCGTGTTTGCGATACAGGGACGTATTAACAACAGAGATGGTATGATAATAAATTGTGAAAAGTTACCTATGCTGGTTTTTGAAGTTCAAAGAAATGTTATGTGACCGCTTAATTTTTTTTACTTTCTCCCCCTATACCATAGTAGGCTATATGGAGAAAGTATTGTTTTCGTCAAAATTTTCGAGTTTGAGTTTTGAGTGGATATATTCGTTTTGGGTCCCCCTGGACCCAAAAAAGTGGTTTTCGAAGTGATGTCTGTGTGTGTGTGTGTGTGTGTCTCGATGTGTACAGAGCTAGAGACCACACCTGTGGTCCGATTTCGATGAAATTTGGTATGTAGGATCTAATCCATGGTATCTCCAGGTGTTTTTTTCATTTTTTTTGAAATTTTGATTTTTTTATGGGGATTTTCCCATAAAAACCAATAAAAAACAGGAAAAATCGATAAAAATTTAGTATGTTGTAGCCCTTTAAATTCTGAACAAAATGGTACAAATTCCATTTCTGTAAAAATTACGGTTCAAAAGTTATGGTAAATTATGTTATTTTCCCATAAAACCCCATAAAATAACGAAAAATAGGATTTTAGAAAAAATCCGGTTTTATTTTAACATAGTATGTTATGGTCCTTAAAGATTTGATAGTTTTTTCATATTTTAAAATGATTTTATTTTTAATGGGGATTTTCCCATAAAACCCCATAAAATAACGGAAAAATAGGATTTTTCCAAAAACGGCCCGAACGATTTTGATAAACATTTTGTATGTTATAGTCCTTTATATTCTGAACAAAATGGTACAAATCCCATTTCTGTAAAAATCATGGTTAAAAAGTTATTGTAAATTATGTTATTTTCCCATAAAATAACGGAAAAATCAGATTTTCACAAAAATGGCCCGAACGATTTTGATAAAAATTTAGTATGTAGTCCTTTAAATTCTGAACAAAATTGTACAAATCCCATTTCCGTATATTTACTCTCACCGCTTACACATGATAAAGGTTGTTGACAAACTTATGGGAGAAAGTATGTGTCAGAATGCTGATACCGTTTATTTATATAGGCTATTGCACGGACAGATGCTGTCACAAAACACACTATTTAGACTTAGGAGATCTTAGCGTACAGTACAACACAGATTTAAATTGCCAATAAAATTGCTAAATATTTGTAAAATAATATTATGGGATGAAGCTTCTATGTCCAATAGGTATGCTTTATCGTCTGTAGAATGATTACTGCGAGATATCGCTAGAAGGTTTTGGAGGTAATTTCCAGCAATGAGCTACCTACCATAGTCTCTGGTGCGAGTCGCTGTGAAATGGTAGAAAATTCGATAATTATACCACCTTTATGGTCAATGTTTAAGAATATTTCACTTGCTAAAAACATAGAGCAAATCCAAGGGAATCAATATTTGCTGAATATATTTTACGAATAAGGAATGGCCAAGAGAGCTTAATGGTCTTTGTGAGACATTGATAAGTCTTCCATCACAATGTATTGCGAATAAAAATATCATTGACGACATGTTCAGTACCTAAAGGATTTTCTAAAAAAGCTTTAAAAAAGACAAAATTCATGCAATAATTTAACCAAAGAATGAACATGGTGACCAAATTAATAATAAAATAGCTAAGCAACTAATAATAACAGTAGAGTTTACTACTGATTGGACACTTTGATTGAAGAAGAGGAAGACCGGTTACATGTCCTTGATGGATTTCTCCACACTTTAGCACCAAGTGGTTATGTCTCTCAAGTTATTGTAGAGAGAGTAAAGAGAAAAGAGTATTGACTTTTAATTTATTATGTAGTAACAAGATAAAATTGTATTTAAATTATTAAAATAACATTGAAATGTAGTTAATATTAGTAACTGGAAACAACTAGTTTTAATTATAATCTCTGACTATTAATACAACTTCTGTATCCAGTCAATGTTATAATGAACATTTTTTGTTGTAGGTTGAGAAGGTAAAAAGAAAGCAACAGATGATATTGATCTGAGAGTTAATATAATACAACAGAAGAATAAAGAAAGACAAGAGAAAAAGGATAATCACTCAAGTATATTGTTAAATACCTCATGTGCATGGCAAGATTTGACTACAGAATGAGTCAATCGTAACTGCTCTACATTTAACATGTCCTTCAAACAAGGTTACTATTTAAATATTTCTCTGATATGTTGATTTTTCTGATTAGTAATTAGCTTTTGTGGTAAATTTCACAAATATTAAAACTGAAAGAATGGAAAAATTAACTCGAAGAAAAAATATTCCTCTCAAGTGTCCAATATGTGAGCAAAGTTGTTCAACTCGATCGGCAATGAAGATTCATATATTATATCACACGGGAGAGCGTTCCTTCAAATGTTTGACATGTGAGAAAACCTTTTTCCAACAACAACAAGTAAAGAGTCATGTGTTGATACACATTAGGAAAAGTCCTTATAAGTGTTCTATATGTGAAAAATCCTTTTTAACCAAGGGCAATATGAACAAACATTCTTTAATTCATACAGGAGAGAGACCTTACAAGTGCAGTATATGTGGAAAATCCTTTACATCCACAAGCAATATGAAGACTCATTCATTGGTTCACACAGGAGAGAGGCCCTACAATTGCAGTACATGTGGGAAATCCTTTAAAACCAAATGGGTTATGAAGGGACATTTAATGGTTCATACAGGAGATACACCTTATAAGTGCAGTACATGTGGAAAATCCTTTAGAACCAAATGGGATATGAAGGGACATTCATTGGTTCATACAGGAGAGAGACCTTACAATTGCAGTACATGTGGGAAATCCTTTAGAACCAAACGGGATATGAAGGGACATTTAATGGTTCACACAGGAGAGACACCTTATAAGTGTACTACATGTGGAAAATCCTTTACATCCAAAAGCAATATGAAGACTCATTTAATGGTTCACACAGGAGAGACACCTTATAAGTGCAGTACATGTGGAAAATCCTTTACATCCACAAGCAATATGAAGACTCATTCATTGGTTCACACAGGAGAGACACCTTATAAGTGCAGTACATGTGGAAAATCCTTTACATCCACAAGCAATATGAAGACTCATTCATTGGTTCACACAGGAGAGAGGCCCTACAATTGCAGTACATGTGGGAAATCCTTTAAAACCAAACGGGATATGAAGAGACATTTAATGGTTCATACAGGAGAGAGTCCTTACAAGTGCGGTACATGTGGAAAATCCTTTACATCCAAAAGCAATATGAAGACTCATTCATTGGTTCACACAGGAGAGACACCTTATAATTGCAGTACATGTGGGAAATCCTTTACATCCAAAGGCAATATGAAGAAACATTCATTAGTTCACACAGGAGAGAAACCTTATAAGTGCAGTACATGTGGGAAATCCTTTACATCCAAAGGATATATGAAGACTCATTCATTGGTTCACACAGGAGAGAGACATTATAAGTAGGTACATGTGCGAAATCCTTTACATCCAAAGGATATATGAAGACTCATTCATTGGTTCATACAGGAGAGAGACCTTATAAGTGCAGTACATGTGGGAAATCCTTTACATCCAAAAGCAATATGAAGACTCATTCATTGGTTCACACAGGAGAGACACCTTATAAGTGCAGTACATGTGGGAAATCCTTTACATCCAAAGGATATATGAAGACTCATTCATTGGTTCACACAGGAGAGAGACATTATAAGTAGGTACATGTGCGAAATCCTTTACATCCAAAGGATATATGAATACTCATTCATTGGTTCATACAGGAGAGAGACATTATAAGTAGGTACATGTGGGAAATCCTTTACATCCAAAAGCAATATGAAGACTCATTCATTGGTTCACACAGGAGAGACACCTTATAAGTGCAGTACATGTGGGAAATCCTTTAAATCCAAAGGATATATGAAGACTTATTCATTGGTTCACACAGGAGAGAGACATTATAAGTAGGTACATGTGGGAAATCCTTTACATCCAAAAGCAATATGAAGACTCATTCATTGGTTCACACAGGAGAGACACCTTATAATTGCAGTACATGTGGGAAATCCTTTAAATCCAAAGGATATATGAAGACTCATTCATTCGTTCACACAGGAGAGACACCTTATAAGTGCAGTACATGTGAAAAATCCTTTACATCCAAAAGCAATATGAAGACTCATTCATTGTTTCACACAGGAGAGACACCTTATAAGTGCAGTACATGTGGAAAATCCTTTAAATCCAAAGGATATATGAAGACTTATTCATTGGTTCACACAGGAGAGAGACATTATAAGTAGGTACATGTGGGAAATCCTTTACATCCAAAAGCAATATGAAGACTCATTCATTGGTTCACACAGGAGAGACACCTTATAATTGCAGTACATGTGGGAAATCCTTTAAATCCAAAGGATATATGAAGACTCATTCATTCGTTCACACAGGAGAGACACCTTATAAGTGCAGTACATGTGAAAAATCCTTTACATCCAAAAGCAATATGAAGACTCATTCATTGTTTCACACAGGAGAGACACCTTATAAGTGCAGTACATGTGGAAAATCCTTTACATCCAAAATCAATATGGTAAATCATTTATTGGTTCACACAGGAGAGAGACCTTACATGTGGAAAATCCTTTAAATCCAAAATCAATATGTCAAATCATTTATTGGTTCACACAGGAGAGAGGCCTTACAATTGCAGTACATGTGGAAAATCCTTTAGAACCAAATGGGATATGAATAGACATTCATTTGTTCATACAGCAAAGAGTGTCCCTTATAAGTAGGTACCTCTTAAACCTATGTGAATTTAATTTGAATTGAAAATCCAATCAGATACGGTAAACGAAAATTCGCTTAGTCTGCAGGTTCACTATTTCCTTACAGGGAAATTCGTTCAAAGTGGCTTTCGAAGTGATTTTGGTGTGTCTGTCTGGATGTGTGGATGTATACAGAGCTACAGACCACTTGTCCTGTAGTCCAATTTTTATTAAATTTAGTACTACTACTAAATTTAGTATACCAATTTGACCATGGTGATCTCCCGTGATTGCAGTGATTACCTTGTTTGATCTCTTTTTATCATACAACAACTTTATAAGGGAACCAATAGATTTCTGTTAAGAGAATGGATGCTCGGCCGTACACTGTTGGCGCTTTTCAGAATTTCCCAGTTTCTTAGAAAATGAACTTAGGACCCAGAACCCAAATACTTTTTTACTTTGATATTTTGATGTCCCTAGACGCCAAAAACACTATTTGTCAAACTTTTATAGTATATATAAAAAAATATATTTAAATTTTTTTAAATAAGCTTTTATTAGAAAAATCATATGATAGCATGAAAAAAAATTCTGGATGATTAAGTAAAGTACTGTAGATTGTACTACAGTTTAAAAAAGTCCTTGATTATTTTAGCTGTACTCAAATGATACGCAGGACAATGGCCTGTCCTAATAAAGACCAGATTGGTATTTCAGTATGTACTGTAGTTTACGCTTAATTTAAACAAATTTCAAAAAGGATAACATAATTTTACTTGTATTACAATTACTTTTAAAAAGTTTTAGATGTAATTAGTCGTATCAAAATGAATATTACAAAACTTTAATCCCATGACGGCGGGTAAAATAGTGAAATCCCCTAAATGTTTACACAAAATACTGTAGTTATAACGTATAATGTTCTCCATAAGAATAGCATTAGAAGGCATTTACAGATGATGTTTGTTTACTTCAATAAAGGTCTATTCTCTGGTCTTCAGTAAAGCTGATTGTGTTAAGCCAGTACACAATTTGTCTATGCCATTTTGATCACTTTTTTGCCTGTCAATTCTGCAATGTACTGTATTAATGTATGTGTATACTATCATAGATTAAAGAGTCGATACTGCCTACTCCTTTAATCTATAAGACTATATAAAACCAGGAGGGATAACGATACCTATTGTTAAGACTTTTTTGTTATGCCTTAGAGTATTGAAATCAATTATTTTATCGTGCAATTTGCAAATTAGTGCATTTTTGTGTAAATAAGTTAAGCGTATAATAAGAAGTAGAATCATGGAAGATGGTTTAAATCAAAGGAATTCAACGTAGAATGGCTAAAAAATTAGGTTGCAAACTAATTATCATAAAACTTGATAAAAGGCACAGTAATTTAAAAAAAATGTATGATTAAAATACTTCAGCTTTGTTTTAATATTCAAATATACATGTTCACAACATCTACATACTGTAATAATGTTAATTCTTAACCTCTTAATTTTATGCTTATTGTAGTGTTGAATCAATATTTTGTATGAAGTGGAATAAGAGTGAAAATTTAAAAACGTACGTTTTCATGTCCCTGGTCTTTTACTTCGTAGATACTGGATTTGTAGTTTATTATTATGTGTTTTAATATTTTTTGGGACGGGGGCAACATGTTACACACATTTATTTGGTTTTAAATAGGTTCTAGGTATTTTTTTCGTATTTTTAAAGTCTCAAAATTCACGACCATAACGTGTCCCTAGGGTACATTTTCCAACTTTCACGCTGTTTTTAGACTAATTATTTATGCCGAAATATATAAAGCCATATTTTTATGTCATTAATGGTTATTAAACTTACAAAAAAGGAGCATATTATAATTTTATTGTCATTGCAAACTGACTACCATGACAAAATAAGTCTGTTCCTTGATTTAGCGTCACGACCATTTGGGAAAAATTTTCAACTTTGGAGCACGACAGTGGCAAGCCTGGTGTCGATGGAGTCAGTGGGTTTTAGAGACTAGTTCGGGGTGTACGTCAGGATTGTAGTGCCGGTCGTTTCGAGTTGAAAGGAGGAATTACAAGATTAATAAAGGAAAGATTGTGTTTTTTGTAATTTTGGTGTGTCCATGACCGTACGTAGTCATTCGATGAAGTAGACATGGTGTTAATTTTTGTTTATAAGATATTTCAATTGCTAGACTAAACTAGAAGTCCACTTTGTATCCTCGAACATGAGGTGCAGGGCTACCGCCACAACAGAGCCAAATAACACGTAATTTCACGACCAAAGTTTCACGACCATTGCGGGTTTTTTCACGACTAATCCAGCCTTATGGATTATAGTGTATTTGGTCGT